ACAGCAGCACAGCACGAAGAGACACTGCTCACCTCAAAGGCTTACTGCAAAGCTTCAGGAGTGAGATGCTGGTCAACAGGGCCAAAGAACTGCAGATTGAGATCCACACGGATAAGCCATCCCCTGGTCTGTGAGAAAAGCAAGTGCTGTCAATGGAAACAGGGCCTCTTTCCAGCAAAGAACCCTGGACAGCTGCACATGATATGCACAAAAATCCACCTAGACCCCAACCTCACGGCACTCAAAAAAATCAACTTAGTGAGCCAGGTGCCTACTGGCTCATGCCTGTAATCCCAGCTACTCAGGAGGCAGAGATCAGGAGGATCACAGTTTGAAGCCAGACCCTATCTCAAAAAAAAAAAAAATCACAAAAAAAGGTTGGTGGAGTGGCTCAAGGTATAGGCCCTGAGTTCAAACTCCAGTACAAAAAAAAAAATTAACTCAGTGGGTCATGGACCTAAGTGTAAAGTGCAAAACTTGAGAAGTTCTAAAAGAAGCCAACATGGTTTGGGGCTGGGGATGAACTGTGTTTATACAGAACCTATGAAAGAAAAATTTGATGAATTCAATAGACTTTAAAAATTAAAAATTTCTGCTCTGCAAGAGGATACTGTTAAGAGAAATCACAGGCAGGGCAGCATGTTTTAAAACTGATATGGACTTACCTCCTGGGGCGAAGGGTGGGTGGGTGGGATTGGCATAAAGGGGTCCCAGAACCACAATTTTGGTGGCTACAGGGGAATTATCATGTTAAAACTCACCAGACACTTAAATCTGGTGCATTTTATGATAGGTAAATGACACTCCAATAAAGTTGCTTTAAAAGGTTAAAAAAATCCCATTAGAATTTTTGTAGAAATTGACATGCCATGTGTGATTTTGATATTTAAAGTTCCAATAATAAGACAGTATGATATTGTCACAAAGAAAGATGATATATCAAAATAGGTCAGGAATGAGGAGTCTACAGCATACATGGCTTGGAGTTCTACAAAGGAGCAGGTGCACTTGGGGGAAAAAGTCAAGACTCTGGTCAGCATATGGGGCTGGAGCTGCTGCAATCCTGCAATCTTTGCCTTGCTCCAGTCACAAAAGCAAATGTAAGATGGGTGGTACCCAAAACATAAAACCAAAAGCTGCAATATTTCCACTCGTCTGGTTTTCATTCCTGTAACAAAGTACTTGAGGCAGAGCAGCTAAGAAAGACAGGGATTAATTTTGGCTCACAGTTCTGGCCCAAGGTCAGGGCACATCTGGTGATGGCTGTTTTGCTGGCAGAGGGCTGAATTGACACAGGACATCAGATGTAGAGACAGAGAGTAGGCACGTGTATGTGCTCTATTTTCTCCTCCTTCTCTAAAGCCACCGGACTGGATCATGGTGTCTCCATCCTGATGACTTCAAGTCCTCCCAGAGGCCCCCACTCTGAACACCAGAGTAGATTAAGCTTGCACCCTCTTTTCTGGGGGGGAGGCAGTACTGGGGTTTGAACTCAGGGCCTTGCACTTGCTAGGCAGGTGCTCTACCACTTGAGCCACTTTCCTTTTTGCTTTAGTTATTTTTGGATAGGGTCTCATGTTTTTGACAGGGTCAGACTTAGACTGCAATCCTCCTACTTAGGCTTATTTGTTGAGATGGGGTCTTGCTAACCTTTTGACCAGGCTGGCCTCAAACCACAATCCTCCCATCTCCGCCTCCTGAGTTGTTGGGTAGAGAGATTGCTGCTAGCTACTACATTCCATGATTCACCCCAGACAAAAACATACGTATGCAGAGACCTGTGCAAGAACATTCCAAGCTGCTTTGCTGTCAACAGCCAGAATTAGGATTGTGTATGTTCCTAGTATGGAATTCTCTTCAGCAATAAAAAAGGATCAATATAGCAATGTTCTATAAGAGGAGAGCAGAGAGGCCAGCACAAAACAAGTGGGCAAAGGCAAGGTCCTCTGACAAGTTCCAGAACAGGCAAAACCATGTGTGGAAATGAGACAGGTCACCTGCAGATATCTCCTGAGACCCGGGGAACTGGATCCAGAAGACCCACACAGTCCACAACCTATAAATTATGCCTCAGTCAAAACATGTTAAATTACCTGGTCACTTCACCTTCACACCAGTGAAGTGTGAAGTAGTGCCAGAGAATATTTTTTGTAATTTGGGGGTGGAGAAGTTCTTTCTGAACGGAATACACCATCAGAAGTAACAAGACAGATTCTGCCACATAAAAAAATGATTAAGTTTGGCATAAGCGTAAAACTAGAGCATATAAAAAGCTCAGGCAAATCACCAAGAATACGAACACAACAGAATAGAATAGTGCATAAAGACAGTTTGCAAAAGGATTTGCCTCTAGATAGTGAGATAAAGGTAAAAAGGGTCACATTCTTAGTGAGACGTAGGGAGATGGATCCGGTTGGAAGGGGCAAAACTTGCCTACGAAATGCATGGCATTTTGGTAAGAGACCCCAAGGTTACTGTTACCTAAAAGATTGATGGAGAGGTTGAAGGAAACAGCCTTTATTTGGAAAGTACAGAATCCAGAAGCAGATTTGCAGAATAGGGTTCTATGTGAGATTTCCAGAGTGGTTCATCCAGGGGACAGAAATCCTAAATTGCAAACCTGTGCTGATTGATTAGTAGGGTCCTCCCAGCTGAGAGATGTCATTGTTCACCCACATCGACTCCAGTGGTAGAGGGCAGCCTTGTCACCTGTGGTAGCAAGACTTGGTTTTTCTTGGTTTCACTTCTTTGCATAGTACGGTGTGTGCCCTTTGACTGCCTTCCCCAAGAAGCCAACTGCCCAAGTGGAAAAGGATGACGTGCTGAATTATTTTTCCCAGTGGTTTTTGCTAGTGGGAAATTGGAACTAGACTTGTGTCCATCAGCAAAGGTTTAATCGTGGGGATACTGAGTGCAGCACGCCAAACCTGGTAACACCAACTGTTTTCACTGACACCAGGGTATGTGCACCAGGAGGGATGCTGTGTGGCTTATGGCACCTGCCTAGGGAACAGGCAGACAGGCCAAGAAGGTTTTCACCTTCGATTCTGTGCACAGAGTGTTTATTAATAAACAGGTAAGACTTTTACAGAAGCAACAGCACTTGTGTGACAGGTGGTCTCTCCACAGAGTAGCCATACTCAGGTGATTGCCCCTCTGTGGGGAGGGCCCTGAGGGGTGTGAATATAGGGTTTGAACTCAGGGACTCATGCTTGCTAGACAGGTACTCTACCACTTGAGCCATGCCCTCAGTCTTAATGGGGGATGGACAGCTGGGTCCCTGCCCAGCTCAACCCCTGCTGCACTCAGAACATGCTAACCCGGGCAAAGGGCTGCAATGGAGTGGGTACTACCCCATGGAGCCCCCAACTCATACCCAGGACCAATGGAGACCGACCTCATGGCCGAGCCCCATCTCCTGACCTGGGGGACCACACTGCAGTTACCCCAAGTTGAGGGAACTCTTGGGAGGGGCTCTGGTCCCTTGCACCTGTTGCTTGGTGTGCTGGGAGTTCCAGGACCACTATGTGGTCTAGGAGAGCAACCTGGTCCAGGACAGAAATACCCGGGGCTGACTGACAGGCGGAGAACCTTCCAGAAATGATAAGCCAGTGTTCAGGTGAGGGGCTCCAGTTGTTACAATCACCCACCATAGGATTTAGATTTAACCCAGAGTTTTAGATTTGAATTTATCCAAAGAAGAGAAAAAGGAAGGAAATGACGTGGAGTCACCCCCAGCACACAACAACAGTGTTCACTCAGTGTCAGCAGGATGCACACAGGCCTGCCCATCCTGTACAACTGGGGACCTGTCCCTGTTCAGAGCCAGGGCCAACCCATCACCCCAGTTGGGACCAAAGTAGTCAATATTGAGCTGCTCAGACCCAGGGAAGACAAACACAGCCTCAGTCACCCCCACTAGATTTGTGTGGAGGGCACTCACTTTAAATAGTCAGAACTGGCTGTGATGAGGGAGTGACCAGTTCTGCTCCCTCCCCAACTGACCTTCTCAATACTACAAAGGTTTACAACTGGCCTGGATCCCAATACAGCAATAACTGCTGTACACCAAACACCTGAGCCAGAACAGGTAAACAATCAGGAGCGGAAGTGTTGTCCCCTGCCTGGCTGCAGGGTCGTCCTTCACCCTGGGCTGGTGGGGTCACTCAGTGCCTCAAACCCAGCTTCATGTAGTCCCTCTGCTACCTCCACCACTGCTTCCAGAAAGAGGTGACCTGATGGCCCCACTGCCCCAAGCCCTCCTGAGCCTGGGTTTAGCCCCTCCTCCAGGTTGGGAGGACCAACATCCAGAGCTCCTGGAGGAAGGAGGCCTTGCACCTGTCCAATATACCTATGTGGAACAACCACACCTGTCCTGGACCTCCTGGAAGCCAGGTCCCTGCTTCAGCTATTTGCAAAGTGCAAGCTGGATGTCTTCTTTCTAGAAAATGCCTAATGGAATGAACTCCATGTATTGAAAAAAATGGAGCCTTTGATCTATTTTTCATTGAGCTTACAAGGTCTCTTGTGGTGAATGAGGCCAACCCTGCAGGGCACACAGCGGGCTCTGGTGCAGGGTAGTGCAGGCTGTGACTGCCAGGAGGAAGAAAGGGCTCTGGTGTTGCCTCCAGCCTTTATGGGATGCAAACTGATATGGGGAGGAGGTGGTACTGAATGACTCCTTGGCCTGAGTGTAGGTATGTGTGCACATTGCCTGCGCACATGAACACACATGCATGAACAGGTTCTTCTGATGTCTGCCTGGGGTCCCTTCGGCGGGGTCAAGTCTGGGGTGAACAGAAAGCTGTACCTACTTGGTTTGAGGGGAGGGCTAGGCCTGGACAGATTCCCTCAGGCCATGTGTGATGTGCGAGTGTGGCGCACAGAAGATTTAAAGACCAGGAGAAACATGGTGTCATAACAAAAAACTTTCACTTAAAGTACTTTTTTTAAAATTTTTTTTATTGATTTCATTGAAAACGGAACAAGAAATGGTCTGAGCCAAAAGACTGCTCTTAAAACTGTCAAAAACATCTTAACAGAAAAAAAAAAATAAACATGACTGCATTATGAATGTTTTAGAAGAGTCACACAAAAAAAATCCACTGTTGCAGCACTAATTACAGTATTTAGAAAGGTATATGTCAAAAAAAAGTACATGACCTGCCAGGCCGCCACACAAAAGGTGACGGCAAATTTATTCACACTACAAGACTAACATTTTAAAAAAGTTTTTCCTGCATTTTATTCTAAAATCACTTTGTTCTCTTTTTACAGTTGATAGTTTATTTCACGTGGTGAGTAGAAACCACACCAGATTCAGCACCGTTGTCTGTGTTTTGTTTTTATTATGTTTGTCCTAATGTTCAGAAATGGTAGAAAACAACCAGTCTATTCATCATAGCATGTGGCTTAGAAATCACAGAAAGTGCAGCGCCAACGGAACTGGCTGGGCTGGTGCGGGTCCACCTGCACCCACCAACCCACTTCCTCACTCAGAGGCTTGATGTAAGGACTAGATACAGGACTCCTTTAAAAAGCAAACCCACACGTTTTTCAAAGTTAGTGAGTGTCAGGGTAGTCCCAACCTCTCCAAGACAGTGTGTCCTCCGTACAAGCCCGGGAGTCATCAGGGGCCACAAAGGCCATGGGCAGCAGGTCTAACGGAGCAGCTTGTGGGTGATGGTGGCTTTGGCAGGTACCACACAGGAGCCTGGCTGGACAGGAGACAAACCCGGCGGTGAAGCAAGGGCCTCAGAGATCACAGGGAGAAGTGGAAAATGTCGCAGTGACAAAGCCACCACCAGGAACTCATAAGGTTGTGCCCATGTGGAGTCCCAAGGTCTCTGAGGCACATGGCCCACGTGTGCTTTGGCCTGAGGCCTCAGCCCGGAATGTTCCTGGGAGGCGTCTGCACCTCTGGGGCCCCTTGATGTTATGTGCAGAACCTCCTCCTGCCTAAACTGTAGTCCTCAGAACCCGATCCTGAGCATTCCACTGGACCTGTTGTGTCTCATAGGGCGTCAGTGGCAGTCGCAGAGCTGGTGTCTGGTAGGCCATTCTCCTGGGCTTCCTGGGCCGCACTGGCCTGCCGCTGGGCCAGGGCTGCACTCGAGTGTCGGCACTTGGGGGAGCCACACCGGCAGCTGAAGAGCTTGCCCTTGATGTCCCAGAAACGCTCCCCGTAGTCAAACCTGGGGGGAGCACAACTTAGCACCGCTGTACCCCAGACACAGGCAGCAGGTGGGGCTCTCCACTGCCTTGAGCCGCCCCATCCAGGCCCCACACCACCCAGCTCAGGTCCCACTGGGCCTGGTTTATACATACCCCAGCTGCTCCCCCGCATGGATCAGGCGGGTGCTGAAGAAGGCGATCCTAGGAAATCGCAGGTCCTGGTGTGACATGAAAACACGCACAGGTACAAGGTTGGGCTCGCAGTGGTGGTTTATGAACCGGCTGACGTTCCCATAGAACCGAGCGTCGATGCAGTACACCTCTCCATCCTGAGGGGTAAGAAAGTGAGAAGGATGCAACCCAGCAAGCATGCTCCAAGATGCACTGTCCTCATCCATATAACCAGCACTGCAGTCCTGAGAGCCAGGAGCTGGTATAGGTCGCGCAGGACTGAGAGCCCTTCTTTTGTGAACTAGAACCCCAATATGCAGTCTTCTGTTGGACCTCAGAGCAGCTGTACACCATGCCATATTGAGTCTGTGGTGTCGAGGTGGGTGTCTTGCTAACCCTTGGGCAGAGAGAAGCTCATGCCTCTGCCCTGGCATCTGTCTGCGGTTCTGTTTCACAGCACAGAGAAGCCAAGTGAAGCACAGGACAGAGATTTGGCTGGGTGGGCTAGATGGACCCAGTTTTCCTGCTGAGACCAGTGCAAGAAGCTGCTGACACTGTGATGGGTCTGTGTGGTGAGAAATGCAGGAGGCCCAGGCTGACAACCAATGAGCATTTAGATACTGGCCAGGCTGGATAAGGTCCTCCCTGGAGCCTTCTCCTGGGCCTGGCCATATTACTAAGTTTGTAGGGTGACTGCCATGTAGCCACGGGAAATAAGTGCAAATTCACAGGGAAAGCCAGGCACACTGAAGGGAGGTGCGTGATGAGCATGCCCAAAACTTAAGCCCTAAGGGCAGGGTCTGCACGAGAACTTGTTCTGGACAAACTTCCCCATTCAAATCTTAATCAGGGTGCCAAGGGCACTAAGAGTAAGTCATGACACACTTGGGAACAGATTTAAGAAAATACTCCAGGCACCAGTGGTTCATGACTGTAATTCTAGCAACTCAGCCAACCCTGGGCAAGTAGTTTGCAAGACCCTATCCTGAAAAAAACCAATCACAAAAAAAGAGCTGGTGGAGTGGCTCAAGTGGTAAGAACACCTGCCTACAAAAAGAAAAAAGAAAGAAAATACATGTAAGAACTACACACTGAATACAGAGTTGTAGAGCCTAGACACAGTGTCACAACACCAGGTTCCAGTGGGCTCAGATTTGTGCAACCCCCGCCTCAACTCCAGAGCTGCTCAGCTCTACACACACTGGGTCTGAAATTTACCTGAGAAGCCAAAGGCCTCAAGTCCCAAGGTTACAAAAGGCTGCCAGTCAGCAAACAGAATGAAGGAAAAAAACACAGTCCAGACGTAGATACCAGCAGACCCACAGCTGTGCTGGACAGCCACATTTCCACATGGACCAAGATGAACCCAGCTACACATTGATGCTAGTTCAAAGCAGGTCACAGAACCAAGCAAAGAACTTGTACAGAAAGACATGGAGGAAAATTTTCATGACCTTGTGGTAGACAAGGGTCCCCTCAGGACAGAATGGACTGAGTATTAAAGTTCTTCGTCATCAGAGACACCATGAAGAAAACATAACAAACACGTACACACAGATGCCTGACAAAGTAGTGAATTAAAAAAGGACTCTTGACAATTCAAGAAGGTAAGTGACCTGGTTAAAAATGGACAGAAAGTTTAAAAATGGCAGTAAGTTTAAAAACTGACTTCAAGAAAGAACATCAGGTTACACTTCTTTTTTTAAAATGTTTTTGTTGGTGTATTTGTTTTTGGTGGTACTGGGGTCTGAACTCAGGTCCACACACTTGCTCGGCAGGTGCTCTACCACTTGAACCCCTCCACCAGCCCCTAGAAGAGAACATCTAAGCAAGTCTAACAAGCACATGAAAAGAACTGCAGTATCACTAACCATCAAGAAAATGCAAACTCAAATCATAGTGCGTGAGGCAGGCACAGTGTCACACTCTTGTAATCATCAAACTTGAGAGGCTAACACGGGAGGATCATGAATTAGAAACCAGCCTGGGCTACACAGCAAGACCCTGTCTCAAAAAAGTACCTGTAACTGTGAACTGTTGCTGGTGAGAACGTCAAGTGGTGAACCCACTTTGGCGGTGGCTTCTTTTAAAGTTAAACATACCTTTTTACTGCAAGTTGTGGCTTGTATCTGAGATGTCCCCCAAACGCTCATGAATTGAAGGCCAGTCCCCAGTGCAGCAGTGTTTAGGGCCTTGGGGCAGGGGGGTGACTGGATCATGAGGGTTCTGACCTCTTGGGTGGATTAATCTATTGATGGATTCACAGCTTAATGGGCTTTTGGGGAGGTGGTGAAAACTTCAGGAGGTGGGGCCTAGTTGGAGGAAATAGGTAACTTGGGAGTGCCCTTAAAAAGGTATTTTGTTCCTGGTCCCTTTCTCTCTCTTTTCGCTTCTTGGTTGCCTTAAGGTAAGCAGCACTGCTCCACAACACACAGCCCACCATGAGGTTCTGCCTTCCCACAAAGTGAAAAACCATGGAACTAAATGACCATGGACTGAAACCTCTGAAACTATGAGCCAAAATCAATCTTTCCTCCTTTGAAGTTGATTTTCTGAAAGCTAACACACCACATGACCCAGTAACTCCAGTCTAGGTTACCAAGAGAAATGAAAATGTACATCCACAATCCTGCTGACAGTCACAGCAGGTTTTCTCATAGCAGCACTGGAGTAGTCAGGGTCCACGTACAGTCACATGGGTGTGAAGAGGCACAGCCACAGCAACATGCAACCAGACACAGGACTCTTAACACATGCGTCCTCAGACGTGGGGATAATAGTTTCCTTGTCACAATGAAAACTGTGACTTAAAGTTGATCCAAAAGAAGGCTGGCAGGGTGGATCAAGTGGTAGAGCACCTGCCTAGCAAGTGTGAAGCCCTGAGTTCAAACCCCAACACTACCATCAAAAAAACCAAAAAATTTGATCCAAAGGAAAAATTATAAAAATTCAACAAAAGATACACATCAAACCATAGAAAACAAGTAAACATTAATTACAAAAGATTAGCCCAAGTGAAGGGGCACATTATGTTCAAAGCAGCAAACAGCACGATAAGAACTACCATCCCAAGTGCCAGCCACTGCCTACTGCAGACCCCATCAATTCCCTACAGGAGTTTTTGTAGAACTTGTCCAGCTGATCTGAAACTTACATAGAGAGCAGAAAAAGCAAGGTCCTTGTAAAGAACTTCAAGATGAGAAGACACAAACTATAGTAACTAAACCTTAGAGGAGGGAATCCTAGGTGTCGGGGTCACTGTCACAATAACCACACTGCTGAGTGGTGGAGAGGAGACACAGGTGTCAATATGGGAGAAAGAGCTCAACACTGACCTGAGTTCGTGCAGCAAAACCTGTACATCTGAACACGGATCTAAATATGAAGACAAAGTGTACCTAGTTCTTATAAAAACTTAACCACAATACTTACGAAAGTTCAAGTCACACCCACTTGACTACTAAGTATATAGAAAAGAACTTCTCTCAATAAAAGACATCACATAGGTTGTGCAAGCCTGCAATCCTAGTTAACTGGGAGTGTGAGTTCAGATCATAGTTCAAGGCCAGCCTTGGGGGGCGGGGCAGGTGAGAATTTACAAGACCCCATCTCAACCACTTGCTTGGCCTGATGGTGAGCACCCGTCATCCAAAGTGAAGGGCACATGCACTAGCATTTCTGGACTAGCCTTGTGAGTACACCTGCAATCCTTGTCCCATGTGACACCCACTTCTGCTGGGCTCCAAAGACACAGGTTCCTACTCTCTGGAAGTGGGTGGCTTGCTGCATAAGCCCAGGAACCTCCCAAGTCAGAGGTCTATGCCCTGAGCACTGAGTTAAGGCCAGTACTGCATGGCAGGATCAGCAGGTGTACAGTGAGTCCACACACATCAGCAGCATGGTGCTCATCACAGTGACTCTCCAGGACTGGCCTGTGGCAGCCACTTTCCAGAACCTACCAACAAGCTGTCCAAGTTTTATAATTTTCAACTGCTCTTATGCTCTAGCCTTTCATAACACATTACCTTATTGTCAAGATCAAAGAGGTAAGAATCTTCTTCTCGAACATCAGCTTCGGAATCAGAGATCAGCTCCCCAACATATCTGCATCAAGGAGAGGAAGGACTTAGATTACCTCTGTGCCCACATGGAGAATAGCATCATGGAGTTGCAGAGCACCCACAAGACATACTGCCAAGATTCTGCAGGCTGAGCTTGGATCTGGCTCTGGCTCCACAGGATGAAGACATCAGGGGACAAGGACAAAGAAGCTCCTATGTCTGGAGAACAAGGTAAGGACCCAAGACAGTTCCCAGAAGGCTAAGTATTGTGTAGAGCACCTTTGCAGAGGCATCATGGGCTTGTGCTAAGGACAGAAAACCCAGGAAGTGGTCCCAGGGCTGAAATAGTGAGAGCTTGGTGTGTAGGGGCAAATGGTCAGTGGGCCGCTAGAAGAGCTAGCATAGCCAGTTTCTCCACTGCCCTGCCCCCAGCTGCTGCAGATCAGGGACATGCCTGCTCCCAGGGTCTCCTTGGAGCACTAGTCCCAGCAATGATATATGCAGCTGCAAAGCTGGGGACCTGGGACCCACTTACTCGCAGACAAAGGTGCCCAGCGGGATATCTTGCAGGGACCGCACACCCCAGCCCATGTCCTGTGTCCGATAAAGCTGCAGCCTTGCCCTGGAAAATAGGTAAAGGGGAGGCGGGCATGTGCCCTACATTCAGCAAACCAGCTTGCACTGCATTCTGAAATGAGTGATAAGAGCAAATAGAGAAAAAACAAATAATTTCATACCCAAGAAAGTTATAGCTCTGGAGGGACAGCAAGTCCAACTACCTTTCAGACTCAGCACCTCCTATGCAGGAAGCTGAGAGCAGCAGCAGCCCTCCCCACGCCTCAGCTTCCTCATCTGTAACTGGCCTACTCTACTAGATTACCATGAAGAAGAACTAAAGGCAGCCATGCCAGAGAAGCAACAGGAGCTGGGCAGGCTCAGCAGGGCCTGGTAGGCTTAGGGATAGATCAGGCTCAGAGGCCTCCACAGATTCTTCAAGGTTCCCTCAATGTTAGCCCATTGGTGGATATGGGAGAGGACAAGGCAGGTCTGAGCTCTGCCCAGGACTCTACCACATAAAGACTCCATGTGCTCCAGCATGGACCACAACTACTGATGCTGAAATTCAACTCTGGCAGTGAAATGGTACAAGCCAGACAGGTCTTATGGGACCAAGCACATGTGGAGACTTGGGAAGAAGCCTAACACCCTTGAGAAGTCATCAGACACCACCATTCTCGCTGGTAGAGAAATCCAATGAACAAAGAACAAAAATGGCTTCAATATTAGAACAGCACAAAACAAGCCTAGTTCATTGAGGAAGGCACGTATGACTTGGGCCAGGACTGCCACTCTGCTTTTAGCTCCAATGACCTGATACCTGCCCTCTCTCAGCCCATACCTGAGCCGGTGGAGTCTGGTTGATCATTCATGCAAGTAAACCATCTCCAGAGGACAAGGCCAGGATTACAGCTGCAAACACACATGCCAACCCACATTATGCCCACACGTCTCTTACCTGAGACCATTCTGCACAACACGATTGCGGCAGTTCCTCCAGCAGGAGCAAGCGTGGTTGCACTCGAAGATCAAGGGTGGCTCTGCCATGTTGAACTCAGGCAGAAGCCGCCCATCCTGTGGACAGATGGCCATGAGGTCCAGCAGGTACCCCTCACCTTTCTTTTTAAATCAACTGGTATCAACACATTTTAACAAAGTGCCCAGTGTCGCCTCAATTATACATTAAAAACGATGGTTTCTGGTGAGACTTTAACACCCTGGGGAACAGGGTAAGGCTCTGCATTTATGGTCTGGAAGGGAGATTTCACCAAGTGTTGCATAGGTTTGGGGGCCTCTTGGGGAGCTCCCTCTAGTCCCTATCTGGTTACACTGTCCTCCTAACCCTCCTTCCGTGCTCTCTCTCTTTTTGGGGCTAACATAGGGTCCCCATCCTCCAGGTGGTTAGTGCCTTGTGGACTCTCCTGTGCTCTTAGCCTTGCAGATTCCCATGTTGGGAACCAGCCACTTGCTCCCTGTTTGAATGCCTACTCCACAAACAGGTAATGCATCAGGGCAGTCTGGGAGGCTTCAGGGGAAATTCTGTGCAGCTAGGGTTTTTTTGCAGAATGCTCATGCCTGCAGGGCATGGACAATACTACGAAGATACAACTGACACTTGCTGAGCCCCCCCTTCACCAGCACTGGCCATACCACCCCTTTTCCTGGTGCCATCTTCTCATTTAGACAATAAACCTTCATCCTCCGTGGCTCCCTCATCTTCTAAACATCCCTTTGGAAAGAACCTATTGCTGTCCATACTCACAGTCTGCTTCCTCTTCATTCAGGACACTCTTGCTTCTGCACAAAGAGCATGGTTCCTCTCCTTGGTTGTTCTATCCCTGAGCTGTACCCTTGGCCTGAAGCCCTTCTCTTCCACCTCCTATTCAATGCCTCCCACTGAACTCCTCCCAACAGTGACCTGCTGGTCACTTCCAAGCCTGCCCCCTCCCCTTGCCACCATGTCCAGTAATGCTCACTCCATCTAGCCCAGTCCATGACCTTTGTCTATCCACTGAGCATCTCTTTGGCTACTTACACATGGCAAGCACAAGGCAGGCTTTACATACACAGACAAGTTTCCTCCCATGACTTCTGC